TCTGCATTTGTGAACAATATCCGCGATTACTTTCATCGGCCTGAGATATTTAATCGTAAGATTACAGTACTTATCCGCGGGGTTGATGGCATCCATACAGATGCTGAGAGTTTTAAGTCTTTTTTAAAGATGATAGCGGCCTATCATGACAAGGTCCAATTAATCTTTCAATTAACTAAGATCTGCCCTATAATAGCCCCAATGAGGTACCGTAACTTTGAAGGCCTTGGCGGTACAGTAGATTTCTGGGCCCACGACTTTCTTAGTCACTTAGAAGGATGGGAGGATATTCCCGAAGTCCAGAGAATAGTTGATATCTGGGGGATAATCCGGAGGAGTAAGGCGAGTGGTAATGGCGTCCAAGATCGCAATACGCTGTTGCCAGCTGATATAAAAGCACCACCAATAGCCTTAAAACTCCGTGGACCTGTGAACCGCCTAGGCAGGTTAGGGGCATAGTAGTCTTAAAGCTACTGATAGATTACGAAGCGAGGGTTAATATCCGATGACTACTACCAACAGTGACTCGTGTTGTAGTTATCAAGCCTCCGTGTCTTGACAAGTACTATCAATCGTTAAGGCAAGAGCTGCGAACTGCTAGGCCAATTCAAATAAGCATGGGGACTGGCTGAGAACCTGTTACCTCGGTTGATCGAAGAGTATACTAGCCACCAATAATGATATATAGCTGACCCTTGACCAAGACCAGTTTACATATATTTAACCAACTTCCAACTTGTTTGATCCATTCAACTATAGCCCCAATCGCCAACCGCATCATTCCCATTTCAATTATAGTCATGTTACATGAGTATCACCAATGTTTCTCTATTATGAGGTCACATAGGCGGCACTAGTTGACCAACTCATCAGCTACAAGGCGATTTGATTAACTGTGACATGACATATATATATATATATTTCTGGTGATGCTGTCTAAGGGCCCAGTGGTGCTATTTGTGGATAGATGAGAAATGGTTCTTATCATCCAATATAAGCCACTTTTCGAGGGGGTCATGTACGAACTCACCCGAGCACCTTACTCATTCAAATACGCTCGAGCTCGATGATATGATGGCCCATACGAGTACGCAATCATGCGAAATGCGAAGACAGCCGGAATACTGCATATCATAGCACAACTAAGTTTCGCATAGAATGTGATACATCCGCTATTGCGCGACTCGGTTACTCGACCAGGCACACACTAAACTATTACAGAGTTCTTGAGAGCTACGACAGACAATAGAGTTACATAGCATAGCCTCGCAAACATCTACATCACCAACGGCATGGGCAGATCTAGGCCGTAGAGTCAGCAAATTCTACGGTTCAATCGACGGAACAATGAGTCGGGCCAATTCAGTCATTATAAACTAAGGCGTCGTGGTGGAGACGGGTTGAGTAATCGCTTTATAACTACGACGTACTGAGATTATCGACAAGTTCGGCCAGCTTACATACCGCGTGTATCCATTTAGTGTCAAGGAACGAGAGTCAGTCGACAAAACATACGACAAACTATATTGTATGGGGATGGTATGCTATTCTACCGAAAATTCACTGCTACGGTGAACAAATCTGCAAGGGTCGACCAATAACAAAATTGCAGTGCGCAACAGGTACCCAATCCCACTGATGGAAACTACAATCGAACGAGTATGTGGAAAAGCTATACTATCAGTTGTAGACATGGCAATTTACTTCTACTAATTATAGGTCGCCCCAGATGGTCGTCACAAGCAGACTTGAGAGCTGAAAGGTAGTGCACTGGCATCACATCGAATGCTAAAGCAGTTCAACATCGCCTTAATGGGGTTTGTAAAATCACCGGCCTATATTCATATAAAGACCGAGTACTACGCGAAACAAGTTATTCGGATTTCGTCTCGAGAGATATTGACGATTGTCTGATCGCGAGTGGCGGGGACGGGGGATGCCTTCACCACTTGAGAACATTGTTCTCGTCGTTTAATGAAAGAAACTTCACATTCAGTAGGCAAAACGCCTACTTGAGGTTCGAGCGTCGCAGTGCCTGTCCCAACGTTTCATTCAAAGAGGTGAACATTCTAGAGCAATAGTATATAGTTTTAGCGAGCCTTATGATGAGTTCTTCAGTCGACCAGTACTCTGAATCTCATATCAAGCGTGTGGTGGTAATACTAGTCCACTAAACATTCCATATCTGCTTGTCTCATGTGGCTGTCTGATACCGTCCTACTGCCTAACCATGAGTAACTTTGCTGACAGTCCCATCATCACCAACATGGATGTTCAGCCTTTCCGGCTTGTGGTCCATGGTTTTCATGCTATCAGGTTTGAGAATGCGGTGTTCCTTGGGCAGATCGGACTTTGCGAAAGTCTGCGGATGGAAGTGTCAGCAGGTATTCTTCATGTTATGTCGGATGCAGAGTTGCTTGAGCGGGCATATGGTGAGGATTACACGGGATATGGAGGAAAGTAGAGTGGAGGACGTTGGGACAGACGCACAATATCATCATGCTGATCACCAAGCTTCTTGCCTGCAAGTTTGCCCAACCAGTCATCACTTGAGTTTCCATCCTTGGACTGAAGACCGGGGACTACAAGAGGCATTTTGAGAGTCTGTGTACCGAGTGTTCTTGTAGTGTGAAGGCGTAAACGTATTGATTGTAGTATCGCGGAGATTGTGCTCGTAACGTAGTAGGTTGAAGGGAAGTGTAGAGTACTTATGCAAGTTACGCACCCTTGTTCGTACTTGTGAATGAGTTTCTTAGACGTTGATTCCTTGATTGAAGTGGTCAGGCTGCAGTGTTACCCTACTGACCCGCGGGGTGGTGTGACGTCACCCGCAGCTAGCCGCTCTATGATGGTTTGGCTTCAAACCGCAACATTGATTAAACAAAAATTATGTCTGTATACTTCCTTCATTCGCTACAGATGATATCTGCCCTCGGGTGACACAAAGACCTAATACAATCGCGTTAAATATGGTTCAGAATTCTTGTTTGTGCGCCAACAGAGTACAACCATCGGTTCAAAATCGCTCAGATATCGTTTCTAGGTGATTTTCTTGGGTTCTCAACTCATAAAACTGTGGCGTGGTACATAGCTATGTAGTTGATTTCGGCCCATGCGCCGCAAACCCAGCCTCAAACTAAACCGCAACATCCAATCCTATACTTTAGGTAGCAGCCTTGCAACTCACAAACCTTGCATATTCAGCATTTTTTCTGTCTGTCCAGAAGCCTCGCAAACCATAAACTTTTGTATTCAGCATTCTACCCATCTAGGTATCTTGCTGCACAGAAGCCGTTCTACTTTTATCACTACCTATGTCTCTCATGAAGGTTCTCCGCGACGTCTTCACAATTTCTAAAGAACATTCTAGAGCAACTGCAGCCCGAACTAAGTGGTTTAAAACCACAAGTATTGGTATGTAGCCCATTATATCCTCATTTGGACTAGTGCTACTTTTGCTACATGGGTAGTGAAGGAGAAGTCGGCGAAATCGCATACTGACTAATTATGGTTAAGACGATATTTACGACCAATTTCTTGGTACGGCTATCTCGCCATGTATAGAAAGGCACTGTGTACCCCCAAACCTACTCACGCCATCTGCAGTCAGTAGCTTTGATGCGACTGTGTGTACTTTTCGTCAAACGCCTAATGGGGAGATTGAACCGTCCGAAGTCTTTCGCTTCCTCCGCCATGCCCATCCAAGCCAGGCGCTTCTTATCCAATCCACACAGCCTAGCTTAATGTCTCTGCTGTATGCGCATGCGCGGTTTCCCTTCTCAAATCCTGTTCCTCTCACAAGAGATGCACTGTTGCGGGTAGTTATGCTCCTCACGCAACGAGGAACCGACTTCTTCGAGAAAAGGATCATAGAACCTCCAAAGCGCACCGATGGCGATCGACTTACCTACATTTTCAAGGTTCTTGCAACACCAAACGCAGGAATAGGTATAATAGAATATGAGGATATTGAGGAGGTCCTTCTGAGGCTACCCTTCCCCCCGCCCCTTCCAACATTTAATCCTTGAGGGCTACGAAGTCGTTTTCGGGCTATGGCCGAACGGTTAGACACCCCAAACGCAACTAATATTGGTGGGCTGTGCGAGATTCCGAGCGACGTTCTTGGAGCTCTTGCTAAGCTTGCAGTAGGTCTCTTGGTCAACTTCGAAGATGATCAAATTAAGGATGACTTTGTTCCCACAGCCAATATGAGCCTAGAACTTTTTTTTTAGCTTGGGGTACGCAAGCGCAGTTGCTCAAAACACTCGATAAGTTGCTTGAACCAATGTTACAGCTTGCTATGGCCGCTCTCTCTGAGTAGTCGCTGCTCAAGTTAGTGCCTTGACATTCGCCCAGTATGTACGGAGTTTCCTCCACTAGGTAGTTAGATGAACCAGCTTTAATTCTGCAAGGTAAACTTCACCTAGGATAGCCCCAAGAGCCAGTGATAACTCATTAATTGAAAAGAGAGTGATTAGTAGATAAATAGGTAACTAAGGGAAGAAAATCGAGGCATATATATAGGGTAAAAAGTCCGAAGAGTAAGTTGGGCCTGAAGAGGAAAGCTAGACAAATAAAAAAGAAAGAGAGTAAAAGGAAAGAAAGGAGTTCTACAGGTAGCTACTTCCTTTCACTGCTCTACTGGTTACCCCAAACTATAGCTTCTAATCTTCATGGCCTGTCTCTACCCATCGATCGAAACTACGTTTGCCATATTCTTGGTAAAGGTTTGACAGTTATGCCACAAAACAGTATAGCCTACTCTAAATAAATCTTAGAGTATATATAGACGACCTGCCCAATACCAGCGCCCCTAAAGCTATTAACAACTATTCGATATTGCTTATAGACGGTTCAGTTTCAAGGAGCACGACCGACCTAAGCTACTGTTAGGCAAATATATAGGTATCGGCTCTTTCTGTTCTTAGCTAAATACTATATTACTCCAAATATAAATGAATATTTTTAAACGCTAAAAAAATGGGATAAAAACAAAATCATGGTCACTACGCGGGTCGAACGCGCGACCTTGGCGTTATTAGCACCACGCTCTAACCAACTGAGCTAAGCGACCATTGTAATTGCTTTGATGGAGGTTTTTCAAATTGCATAAGGTATTAACCATATGCTGGGTCGCTCCTGCCTCTTTGACGAAACTACTACACCTTGTACCCTGAAACTTGTTAGGTGAGAGATTAAAGCGGGGTACTTAATTTAGTCATCTTACTCTTAGTAACTATAACTAAATGATTAGTTTTATCTAAAATATACTATTACGTAATCTTGCTTCTGTATTTTGTTTTGGAGCTTGCGATGTATACTAGAAACCTGAATAGAGCGGATTACCTTTAAAGCAACAGAAGTGTTACAACAAGTATTTCCCCCTCCTGTATTCTCTGAAGGCTCCCGAAGAGACAAATCCCAAGCCCATCTTCCTCGCTACTGCAAGAGTCATGTTACACGAATTTCCCACCAATGCAGTCTCAACACAGAGCTACAATACACTACATATCGCCAAACTCGCCCAGACACAACATACCCGTGAATCCCAACGCAGAACACACAGCCACATATCCACACGATATCTCTTCCATTCCCACTGACGCCCCACCCAACCTAGCCCGTGCGACCATCGTATTCGGCACCTTCGGGACTGTCAACACACACATTCGGGAAAATCGTGATGATCATGATTTCCACTGCATATGTCGTGTGCTACTGACGGGAAATGAGCCGCATACGTTTGGTTTCCAAAGGGTGCACACAGGTCGCATGTTCGCGTCGTCAACGGTACTACGCTCGGCGGCGGTTCCGAGTCGTCTCGCTTGGTCGTGAGCTAGAAGATAGTCAGAAGGCACGACAGGACAGGGTCCGGGGGACTGGTAATTCTCCGACCATTTGCGTACGGCATGGAGAAGCTATGATGGGGTGCGGAGACGGTGTGGAGGTTTTTGTATTGTTCTGCGTGGCGGAAATTGATAGGTATGTGGATATGGGTGCAGAGTGTAGCTGAAGATGTCGTACATGTTTCGAAATCAGCAAGCTCATGGGGGTAGATGTACGTTATATGCTGGTCTGTATGCAGCTGTTGCTGGCAATGTCTGGGTTCTGAAGTTTTCCCGGTGACACTGGAGTAGCGGTGAGTTTGTTCGTGGACTGTTTCCTGGTCGTTTCTTCAGACCAGGTGATAGGGCCCACGAGCTATTGGCTTCAATGTAGAACAGCTAATCAAAGAAGGATATGTTTGATTAGACATTCTCCAGCTAGGTTGCGCCGTGTAACGAGTGGCTATGCTGCACTACAATGTAGAAAGAAACCATTCAATCCTACAGCCTCCACAAGATTGTCAAATGAATACGCTATGCTTCTGGATAGATGCGACTAGATTATGGAATAATGATTTCGCCCAGCGCTGGGAAGTATCCCTAGTTTGAAAAATCACAAAGATTATTAAAATTGAATTGGTTGCGTTTATTCTTCTCAGGGTCGATTTTGCCTCGATTTAGGCCAAAGCCTTCAATCCATCATACTATGTGATACAACATCCTCAATGGATCCACCAGAAATCCTATTGGCAGCTCGAAGAATATAAATTAGGGTTCCGCTATTAGCCAAAAAGACGCAGGACACGACGAAAGTCGGACTGGGTATATGTCATATGCCTGCACGAAAAGCGGTCTTACGCCACCAGGTCCACATGCTAGATGCAGAGGAAAGCACAGACAAGGGTAACTAACGTGATATAGAGAGCAGATTTACAGTCGCGGTGCTTGCGGGGTAACAGAATTGGGAGGGGTCAAGTTATGAAAGGTGTGAAGAGAGCTAGGAACGCGGTCTAGAGAGAAAATGATATCAGCGTCGACAGCTAAGGTCTCCGCCTTTGAGAAGGATCAACATCCCTCGGATAGGGTCAACCTGGAAGTACTCGGCATCGAGCGTGGAGCACCAACTGTATAGGATGAATGTGTTCGTTCTCAAGTTGCAGCATACAAAGCAAGAGACCTGACCTAATTGATGGGACAATCGCAATCATTTTTGAATTGCTTGGCCCAGGGCGCATGGTTTCCTATTCGTCTTGTTTCCGGATCATGGCGACCTCGCCACCGCCCAAGATAGCATTGCCATGTCACAGATGCGAGCGAGAACTTGCTGCGAGCCTTGCCGGCTTTCGTGGCTGATGAACGACATTGCAACAACCAGCTTACTCAAGTCGCTATCATCAGCCTGGCTGATGATTGGTGGCAATGCGTTGGGAAACCCAGCCGTCCGGCTGCCACAGTGACGTGCTATCGCAATGGAGTAGATGGCATCGCGGACCTCCTGAACCTGCAACACGCTACGCATAATGCCAAGTGCGTAATCGGTGGCACCTTGAGGCGCATTCTCAGCGCCCGAGTACTGAACAAAATCGCCGAGATGTAGCCAAAAGTCTACTTCAGACTTCTTCTGGTCCGAAAGATCCGAGGGGTATGATAGCTGGCGCAGCGGATTGGGTGACAGATTCTGATTTGTAAGAAGACAATCTAGAACATCGAATCGCGCTCGTGCTTCTCTTAAAGTCAAATCCTCGTTGTCAGCTGGGTGCATAGACGCATGCATGCCGTTCGTGGGGGGTGATGGATGTTTGCAGGTGCCCAGCAGGTGCCAGATGAGACGTGCCTCTTGACTAAAAACACCCGCCATATCACCTGTGTGTGACTTGGTCCTCATACATTCAGTGAAGTAAGCAGCTTCTTCATGCAACGCGCGGTCCGAGAATACTCTGTTCAGTGCATTGTTATTTGTGGTGAACCACTGCGTTTGTAACATAACATCAAGCCCTTGGCAGTAGTCATTGGCAAATATTTTGGTGAAGTCGGTATCTACCTCAGGTGGTATGGGTGTAAGCCGAGCGGGTACCTCTGGCGGGCTATGGTTACAAATGCCAAATATGTCAGCCATGGTTAATGGTTTCCCTAAACTATAGATTAGCGAATGTGACCATACAAACATTATTTGTTAGACTAAGCAGAGAGTCCCGAACACTTTGTTTACAACAATGACAAGGCATCTGGCTACAGCAAACCGTGGCGTGTTCAAGAGATGGAGTGAATACGACCAACAACTTCTCAGAGAGAGACCAGCGTGCTCGAGTGAAGTTTCGGTATTACTATCCACTCGATGACCATCCAAAGTGTTCGGTGCCCTCTGCCAGGCGGCAATGGTTGGTACTAACCTCTAACTGGCTCAAGTGCCGGTGTATAAGGATTGGCGCCTGGAGGGCCCCTTATCGAAGGATCCATATTATGTACACCGTTGTAGGGCGGCTGGCCTGGATGCATTCCTTGTCCGGGAGGAGCAGCTAAGGCAGGGTCAATGGCGTTGAAGTTTTCTGATGAGTGCGCTCCACTAGTCGCAGATGCGGCAGGAGCATATCCTGACGATGAGGCTGGGGCGTAACCTTGGGGCACAGGGCTCTGACTGTATGTGGAAGAAGCAGGTGGTGCGGGGGCAGGTGCTGGGGTTGTTGAATGTGGTGCTGGAGCAGAATTGGGAGCGGGTTGTATTTGTGCTGGGCCGGGTTGCTGTTTGAAAATTGGGTCGTAGCCAAGACACTCGCGTTTGCTCTTTTGACAATTTCTGCACATGGGATGGGCTTCGTCGCACTATAGAGACCGTTTATTAGCGCATGTGCAAAGTTAAGGTGCGAGGTTATAATAAAGATTGGCAGGTCTTGGGTCGCTCGCTTCAATGGTGGCTCGGTTATTTCAGACCACGGGAGCGCAACGCGTCGCGTCGACCAATCACCCGATGAAGCTCGATAATGTACATATCACAGGTTTACAGTATTGGAGTTGGAGTTGGTGGATGCGCAAGAGCGCTGGTGGGAGCGCTTACCTTTATTCTTCTTTTGCGACAAGTCAAGCATCCCGTTTTGGTGCGGCGCTTGATCTCTTTTTTATGGCGACCGCCAGACAAGACGCGCTGGTCGCCGTGCTGAGGCGGCAATTGGTATCGCATCGCATTGTTGAACTGGGCAGGGCCCATGTTGGCCATCATGGGTTGGCCAGGTGGGGAGTGCTGGTGTTGGTGCGGATGCGCCTGGTGAGGATAGTACTGGGGCATGCCATGAGGTGGGGGAGGCAGCGAAGAGGCCATGGACTGCTGGGGCTGCTGAGGTTGAGGGGGCGGTGGTTGCTGTCCATCTTGCAGGCGTATTGGTGGCAGGTTGAGAGGCGGCAGCGACATGTTGGCGCCCTGAGGGGATGCTCGGTAGGGTTCATTGCTCTGCTGGCCTTGGGGTGGCGGGTAGGTGTAGGTAGGCTGCATCGAAGGCGAAGGGTAAGAGTGCGGTGAGGGATAGGCACCTGGCTGTTGTTGTCTTGTTGACTGCTGGACGTTCGGATCCGCCATGCTGGATTGCGAAAAGTGGGATGGGGCAGGCGAATATGGCGCAGAATGGATCTGGGTGGTAAATTCGTGTGACATGGGCCAACACTATGAGGCCGCCCAAGCGCAGCGCGAGGTTGCAGGAATAATTGGGAATTGACGACGACAGACTCGGGTAGGTAGTATGTAGGGTAGGTATCTCGCTAGAAAGAGAAGCGATGGAGAGGGACGGGGTAGGGATGCACAGTTGGCGAGCGGCCGAGGCGTGTTGGCGGAGCTAGCGACAGGGGATGGGCTCCGTGGGCTGCCAGCCTGCAGGTCAGAGTTGCAGGCCACAAGCGTGCGCTTGCACTTGGAGAGGGGAGATACGGATAGACAGGAATTGCAGGATTGCAGACTGCGTGGGATGGGTAGGTTAGCGACAACGAGTTTGGAAGAAGCGGCGGTGATTTAATTAGGTATTGCTAGTTCTGGGTCGTGGGCGTGCAGGTTTCTAGGGACAAGGTAGGTAGCCTGGAGCATAGTAATAACAATAAGGACCGGTGCAGCGGCAGGCAAAGGCAAAGGCAGAAACAGAGGCAGAAGTACAGTGCAGTGCAGCGCAGTGCATCCAGAAAAAAAAACACGTCAAGAATGCGGGCCATACATGGACATGGCATGGCTGGCCATGTTTGATGGCGGCAGGGAGGATGGCAAGACAGCAGC